GGTGGTCTGCAGCCTACTAACTGTGTAATAAAGACTCCAATATTTCATATTCTAAAATGTGGCTTCTGAGATGATTCATCTTATAACACATACATGCACCTTGAGTGTGTACTGACTGCAGTACCATACTGGAATGATTCACCTTATAACACATACATGGACCTTGAGTGTGTACTGACTGCAGTAACATACTGGGAAGGGCAAAGACGACCAAATGATCAAACTGACAGACAACTGCCTACATCTTCTCAAAAAGATAGGCAGCACCAGGCACAAGTGGCTCACACTTATCATTTTAGTTACTCAAGAGGCTGAGATCTGAGAATCAAGGTCCTGAGTTAACATAGACCAACAAATCCTCAAGTCTTTTATCTCCAAATAACTAGCAAAAAGCTGGAGCTGGAGGCATGGCTCAAGTGGTAGTGTGCTAGCCATGAGCAAAATACACTAAGGAAGAGTTTGAGGCCCTGAGTTTAAACCTCCAATATTGATATGCATACACACACACACACACACACACACATACACACACCGCATAGGCATATGACTTCCCCCACACACAACTACTGTGCAATCATCAAATCATCAAATCACTTAAAGAGGGAACACAAGGGGAGGGCCTCAGTTTTGTGCCACCTAGTAACCATGCCCCACTGGATAATAAAATCCCATGACCCAACAAATTTCACAAAGTTGACCCTTATCCACCTGCCTGTCTCAAGCCTCAAGATATATTTTGTCTAGTCCTAGGATGCAGCCTACAATCCAAAGGTCAAATTCCCAAAATACACAATTCCTATCACAGCTTTCTATAAGGCTTTAGCAAGATACCTTTCTGAACTCTGATACGTTCAAGGACAATGATTGCTAAAAGTCATTGTTGATCATTGAAATCTTTATTTCTTTGACGAAGTTTATTTATTGTAGAACAGTATAATGAGCTAGATGCTGATGATTCATTGTATTGAGGCTAAGACCCTTGGATTATAGTTCAAAGTCAGTCTGGATTTAAAAAAAAAAAGCCAACACCCCACCTCTAAAGTAACCAGTAAAAAGCAAAACCGAAGGTGTCACTCAAGTGGTAGAAGACCAGCTAAGGAAGCAAGCTGAGCCTGAGATCATTTTTTTTAATCTACCCATTTCTACCATTTAACATGCCAATTGTTTTAATTTTTGAGTCCCTTGGTAGTTTTGTGCAAATGCTGCTAGCTTTACAGAGTACATGTACAATTCAGCCCTAAAATTCTGTAAGTTTGCTATTAACATGCTATTAACTTATGGTAGAAATTTCAGAATTATTGTTATCAACAATGTTATATTTCCTACTACCTCTGTAGCACAATTTATTTATTTTTTTTTTTGGGGTCCAGTCGTGGGGCCTGAACTCTGGGCCTGGGTGCTGTCCCTCAGCTCTACAGCTCAAGGCTAGTGCTCTACCACTTGAGCCACAGCGCCACTTCCGGCTTTTTTTCTTTTTGCTTATGTGGTGCTGGGGAATCGAACCCAGGGCCTCAGGCATGCAAGGCAAGCGCTCTACCACTGAGCCACCTTCCCAGCCCTGTAGCACAATTTATTTAAAAACATGTCCTTTTGTGGATGTTTGGTTCCTATCATTCTCCATTACAAAAATTATTGTTTTAACAATGTATACCTTCCTTGCTTTCTCCTTTTGAATAATTTCTGCAGAATAAATTGGTGAATTAAGGCATAACTACAGTTTTAGGGATGTATTCTGAGTTGTCCCAAATAAGCGTTATATAGCTTGCAGTCAATAAGCTCAGTGACAAGTGGGGAAAAATATGTTGTAATAATTACTCCAATTATTAAGAGTCTATCCAGTATTAGGTATGAAACTACCAGATATCTGACTGTTTTAACTTCTCAATGTCAGCAGGGAAATAAATAGCTTTTACCTTCCAGGCTTTTGTGACACAAACAGCACACTTCTTATCTTGATTTCAACGTTTACAATATTCACAGGTGGAGTATTAAATTCATTGACATCATCACGGTACAAAACAAACCGGTATTCCAGAATTACAAAATCACATACATGTGACTGTGTACATGTTTATATGAGAGTTTATCTAGGAAAACATGTTTAAAAAAATCATAGATGTGCATTGTATTAATTTTTATAAAAGGGAGCCTCAATTTGAGGAGAAATTCCTATTTATATTTATATATAAATTTGCATATATATTTACATATATAACATATATGTTAGAACACTTGTATAATTAATGTTCACTGCTTTCTCTTTTCCTCTCAATATTCAAGCCAGGATGTACTTTCTTCCATATTTATTACTAAGTTTTCATTTCTAAACATATTTTGTAGAATAGATTGCCAAACTTGACTAGCTAATAAAGTAGAAATATTCTTCCAAATATGTTTTTAAGCATTTGTGATGCAAAACAAAAGAAAATAATCAAATTATAGAGTTTTTTCTTTTTCAATGGTTATTCTTTAAATAAAATACCAAAAGTACTGAATTTGTTTTAAAGCTGGAGAAATAATGTCTTCTTAGTAAACTCTTATGTAGTATTCAAAATTTATTGCTGGCCACCAGTGGCTCAAGCCTGTAATACTAGCTACTCAGGAGCTGAGATCTGAGAATTTTGGTTCAAAGCCAGCCCAGGAAGGAAAGACCATGAGACTCTTATCTCCAATTAACAACCAGAAAACTGGAAGTGGTGCTGTGGCTCAAGTGGTAGAGTGTTTGCCTTGAGCTGAAGAGCTGAGGGACAGTGCCCAGGCCAAGGTTCAAGCCCCACGACCAACCAAGAAAAAAAATTTTTTATTAAGATAGGTTTGGATTTGGTTGGTAAACTCTAATAGATTCAAAATTATCATTTATGCCCCAATTAAAAATTGGCATATTTTAAATGTTTTCAGAAACTATAAATGTATCAATTTCCAGTCCATATACTTCTATTTGTGTGGCATTGGGCCAATTTTCTGACTCATTTAAGCTGTATTTTTCTGGCCTGCAAAATCAAAATAACAGTCATCATGCCTTTCCTAGGGCAGCGTGGGCTATAAATGTGCAATTGATTATTAGACACTCAGCCCAAGGCTTGGCAGAAAATAGTACAAGGGTTTGACCTAAGTTTTCCTTGCTCTCAGCCAAAGCTTAACCTGCATACAGCCACTTATTCGCTGGGAAATCTTAAGATTTTTAAAAATAAAAAAGTAAATTATTATCAGATTAGGAGACATATGGTAATCTGAACCAAAATGCTAGAGCCATTTTTTAGAAGAAATTAAAATGTCAAAACCAAAAATCTAAAATAAAAATTACTTTGGAGACATGTACAGGATGAATTAAAAACACTGATTTGTTAGCAAGACACTTCTTACTTTTCTCAATTATTAATATAATTGAAAATTATGAACAAATATGATTTCTTTCATAATATGAAATATTTTCCTAAATTTTTAAGAAGTGAAAATTAGATCCAAGAATCACAGTTCATAGCCAGGCTACACAGAAAAGTGCATACAAAAAAGCCTTGAGCAAAAGAGCCAAGTGAGAGCCAAGTGTCTGCAAGCCCTTGTATTGTCATTAAAAAAAAATTCCTCATATCAATCCTTGCCTATAGTAATTGCTTTGTGAATACTCCCATATGACAAGAAATCTAAGGAAAGTTTAGATTTCCTCTAAAAACTGAAAAGCTACTAAAGAACCAAAGAATCAAATATAAATTTGGAGAGGACCTTGATGAATATTTTTAATATTAAAAATATTTTAAACTATTACAGTGAAGGTCCTTTTAGCATTAACTGAGGCAAATGAATAATTTTTAAAAATTAATGTGAATTCCTCAATACTTGTAAGTAAATATTATATTATTTACAATAGCATCTACATGTAGTTTTAAATAGGATATATGAAATATATTTAAGAGTATGTCATTTAATTCATCCATATACAATAACCAACATTATTATAAATTCAAGAAGCTTTTGTAATAAATTCAGAGCCACTAAAGAGATAGAAAATGGCTAAATTTCCTCATAAAATAAGATTATCTTAAAAAAAATCAAGAGTACTTCTCATGTCAGTGTAAAAAGAAAGCAAAATTTTCTTCTCAACACAATGTAGCTACTAAGAACATCAGTAAAAGATATGGTTCTCGTTGTTCTTTTCAAATAGGAATATTCTCCCCCTTCTCTCCTGCTCTCAGCACACCTTCTGCCAATATTTATTCTAGGAACTAATTCAAAACCTGAGGATCATTCATTTTATTCATTCTCTGACATTTACTATGCACTTAATATGTACCAGGCATAGCTAATGAGCACCAGCCTTCCTCCTTGCTTCACAGTTTACTTCTAGAAGAGACAGACAACACCACAAGGATAATATAAGTCCATGTTTCTGATGGTGCCAGCAGTGAACAGTACAAGGTGCTGTAGGTAAGAGCAGAGGGCTGGATTCAAGTTCAGACTGGCAGCCAGCCAAAGAATTCCCCAAGGAAGTGACTTTTGAGATAAAGTCTAAAAGATAACTAGATGACTTTTCAGCAAGGGAAAAGATGGAGAAAGAGAACTAGAGAGTTTTTTAAATGTAATATCAAAGGAATATGAAAAGATTAGTATATCTGGCTTTGGTAGGAAAGTTCGTTTGTAGGTCTTTGGGAGTATGAGTAGAGGCACAGAATGGAGGGACAAAAGGGGAACAAATGCAGCAGTAGAAGTCACTGGGAACTATTTTGAAACTGAACTATGCAGCCTGTGGGTGGGCATGGGAGGAGAAAAAACTGGGAGAGAGCCAGGGAAGGGGTGACAGTGTTCAAAAAGAAATGTACTCTTTATCTGACTTATGTAACTGCGACCCACATCATCTTTACAATAACAATTTCAAGAGCAACAAGAAATTTCTCTGAACTTTCACTAACTAGCTGTGGGATCAGAGCAATTTATCTACCTTTTCTATGCTTCGTGTCCTCTTTTAAAAAATTACTACATTAGGAGTTGCCATGAATTCTCCCGGAAGCCCCTGCTCTTCCTCTTCCTGTAAGCGGCCAGAGGTGACCTGTGAAAATGGTTCGCTACTCTCTAGATCCAGAAAACCCCACAAAATCATGCAAGTCAAGAGGTTCCAATCTTCGTGTACACTTTAAGAACACCAGAGAAACAGCCCAAGCCATCAAGGGTATGCATATCCGAAAAGCGACCAAGTATCTGAAAGATGTCACGTTAAAGAAGCAATGTGTGCCATTCCGGCATTACAATGGTGGAGTTGGCAGGTGTGCCCAGGCCAAACAGTGGGGCTGGACTCAGGGTCGGTGGCCCAAAAAGAGTGCTGAATTTTTGTTGCACATGCTTAAGAATGCAGAGAGTAATGCAGAACTGAAGGGTTTAGATGTAGACTCCCTGGTCATTGAACACATCCAGGTAAACAAAGCACCTAAGATGCGCCGCCGAACTTACAGAGCCCATGGTAGGATTAACCCATCCGTGAGCTCCCCCTGCTACATTGAGATGATCCTTACTGAGAAGGAGCAAATTGTTCCTAAACCAGAGGAGGAGGTTGCACAGAAGAAAAAGGTATCCCAGAAGAAACTGAAGAAACAAAAACTTATGGCACGGGAATAAATTTAGCATAAAATAAACGCAAATAAATCAATGTTGGTTATCGTTACTTTAAAAAAAATTACTACATTATATGAATGTAGTTTTGGTTAAGATGGTGTGTGTCTAGTTTTAGGCAGTGTAAGAAATCACCATTAAATGTTACCCACTTATTTTGTAATTCATAATCTTTTTAGTTAGCATATATTAATAGTAAAAGTAGCCAGACACTAGTGGCTCATGTCTGTAATCCTAGCTATTCAGGAGGCTGAGATCTGAGGTTCACAGTTCAAAGGCAGGCCAAGCAGAAATGTCCATGAGACTCTTATCGCCAATTAACCACTGGAAAACTGGAAGTAGAGCTGTGGCTCAAAGTGGTAGAGTACTAGCCTTGAGCAAACAGAGCCAAGAGACAGTGCCCAGGCCCTAAGTTCAAAGCCACATGACCAACAAAAAAAAATCAAGGAGATACCATTGTAAGAATTTAACAGATATGTACAGTGAACTTTAAACAAGTTCACTCTCTGTTTCATAGGCTCCTTTCTTTTTTGTTTTTTTTTTCTGTTTTTTAATGCCAGTACTGGAGCCAGCTCCACGTTTTTGACTTTTTGGAACTCAATTGGAGATAAGAGTCTCATAGACTATCCTGCTTTGGCTGGCTTTGAACTATAATCCTCAACTCTCAGCTTCCTGAGTAGCTAGGATCACAGGGTGAACTACTGGAGCCCACCAGACTCCTTTTTAATCTTGATTTTTAGTACTATTTATAGCATATATTTGCTGCACACAGGAGCTTAATTGTAAAATGCTACCATTTTTCATAGCAGAATTATATTTTTTCTTACTCTCCTTGCTTTGTGCAAATTCTATACAGTCCCCCCCCCTCCAAGGGCCCCAATTAAATCTTTTTCCTCCATCCTACTGTTACCTACTAAATACTCAGGAATCCATCTATATGCTATTTGGTTCAAGAGAGATTAGGGTCCAACTTGTACAAATTGTCAATAAAAAGCTTGTTTGATGGTCAGGTGACAGCCTCTTACATATAGAACCTGGATTGACTCTGAACCTGCTCTCTCCTCTGCTTCACTTAGTATCACATAGTATCTGCATGTCCGTCCCTCAAGCCCCAGCACATTTTATTTTATCACATTTTATTATCTCCCTTCTCTCCCTCAAGACTAGAGAATCTCTTACAAGCATTAGAAAACAAAGTAGTCAAAATGATTCATGCTGGCTATTAAAAATCAACCACAAAAATCTTACTGGTTTAATATAATAAAGGGTTTTTTCCCCTTAGTTACAGCATATCCAATAAGGATTATGGGATTGTCTTGACAACAATCCTCTAAGCTCAGGGTCTTAAGCTGAGACAGAATGACCCAACTCTCCATAAGGATATTTGGCTAGGAGTTAAGCACCGTTAAATACTTGTTAAGAATGTTAATATTAATGATAGGTCTTTATTCAAGGCATCCTTTCATATTTACTTTTCTTTCAAATAAAATAAACCACTGGGAGCTGGGATGGTTTGACTCTTTGATAGCCATCGGACCCTTCTTCCGATGTGCCAGGCCACTCTAACAGGAAGCTGTCCACCAAGGAGTCTCTCCTTTGGTGACCTGCTAAAGTATCCATTGTGGCTCCTCCACTGATTTAAATTCTCCTTGGAAGCTTCCTCATTCTAGCTGCGAGGAACTTCAGCCTTCCCAAGACTTCTGCTTCTGGCGGTCTCATTCCAGTCGTGACTACTCTATCCTGCACCAATGCAAGAATGTTTCTTGGTGACTTTCAGATAACTTTGCTTGTAGCTGCTACTAAGTTCCATTTTCAGCCTTGTAATAGCACTTCTCAATTAGGTCAGAAGGAGAAAAGGTATTCCCTTAAGTGACTCAGCAAAAAGCTTGTGACTGACAGAGAGCAGGCTGTCCCTATGAATGGTTTATTTTACTTTTAGTGGGGCTGGGATTGGATCCCAGGACTGCCTGCATGCTAGACAAGTACTCTACCACTAAAGCAATATCCTTCACCTCTGATTAGTTCTGATCAGAGGTTTGTGATTGGGCCTCATGTGAAAGATGCAGCTGTACTATAATTCATCTTGCTTGCTTGGCTGGTCCTCTACCTATTGAATCTATACCTTGTTTTTTTGCTTGCCAATTGAAGACAGAATCTCATGGGCCTTTATCCTGACATGACTTTGAATCCTGACCCTCTAAGCCTCAGCCTCAGTACCTGGCCAAGGCTAGCTGTTTTTAAGGATAAAGTCTAGAAAAAGTATTTATTATTTTGATCTATACTTTCCAAATTCAACCATATCATCCTGAACCTACAAGGAAGGCTAGAAAATGTAATATTTCTGTATAGTGGTGAAAAAAAATCCCAAGTGTAATACATACAGAACAATATCTCTGCTAGTGGAAGTCTGTAAATGTTGTTCCTATTCAGAATATTTTGAACATGGTATTTGTCCCTATACTTCCAGAAAAGTATATGATAGTAAATAAATTTTCACACTGAACAGCTTACACAAATGGGGAAATTAAAATTCAGAAAGCAATATGGGGGTCTCTAGCAAGCCTAGAAATGTCTGAAGAACCTCAAATCCTAAGAAGAAAATGATCTCTAAGCTTCCTCAACAATGGTCATTATCTGTGTGTGTGTGTGTGTGTGTGTGTGTGTGTGTGTGTGTATATATATGCATATATATGTGTGTGTGTGTGTATATATATATATATATATATATATATATATAATCTTGATTTCAAGTTGGTATCCTTACTTCATTCCTCCTTGACTTGTGATGGGCAACTCTAAAACCTCCATTGACAACTAAAGTTACACAAAATATATCATGCACAGAACTTGTTCTCAGAAATCCATAAAAAGACAACATTTAAGCAACAAAATGTAATTATTTGACATAAATGTTTATTTCTATGCTATAATTAGCCAAAAGGAGGAGGGCAAAGACTCCATACTTTAAACCATCAAATTATCCAATGTTCTTCATGGATTTTTGTAAAATCTCAATAATAAAGAAATATTTGACACACACACACACACAAAGTATGAGAGAAACACCAACTGAAAATTGACCTGTGACTCTCAACTTCTTGTCCCTTAAGAAAAGGGAATTTTAGCTGGACACAGTGGCTTATGCCTGTAGTCCTAGTTGAGAAGGAGATCAGGAACCTCACAGTTTCAGGCCAGACTGGGCAAAATGTTTGAAAGACCCAATTTCAATCAATAAAAAGCTGGGATTGAAAAAATATATATGTAGAGGAAAAAAAAGCTAGGTTTATAATATATCACAAGCAGAAAGGGTAAATAGGAAGATCATGGTCCAGACAGATCAAAGCAAAAAGCAAGACTCTATTTAAAAAGTAACAAAGTCAAGAAGGGCTGGAGGCATAGCTCAAGTGGTACAGTGACTATCTAGCAAGCTCAAGGCCCTGAGTTCAAGCCTTAGTATTGTCCCACTCCCCCACCCCCAAAGAAAGGAAAAAAAGAATCTGACTATTGCTAATTAACTCATTGCCAAAATTGTAGATTTTAATTAAAGCTTTATAAGTCAAGGTAAAGGTACTGTTGAGTTCTACTAAACCAAAAGAATCACTAGACCATAACCAAAGAAACCAAATTGGTCAGAATTAGGTCAAATTGTAAATGCTTGTGCTTATTGGATATACGTGGTCTCTAGCCCCAGAAGTATGGGCAGCGCCTGAGAAGTAGAAAGGAATAAACAATTTTGGATTCTTTTCAGGGACTTCTGAGTCACAATCACACTTCAACAAAATTCCCAAGTGATTTGTATGCACATTAAAATCTGAGAAACATTAGTACGAACCCAAACCTAACATCTTGATGGAAATTTCAGACAATACTGCCAAGAACCTACAAAGAACTATATATATGTGTGTGTGTGTGTGTGTGTGTGTGTGTGTGTGTGTGTGTAATTTCAAACATATATATTTAATATATATATTAAACATAGATATTTAATTTCAATACATCGTTCAGGTTTGGGTATTTCCATTCTATTTTGAAATAGAATGAAGATTTTCCATGACAATAAAGAAAATTATTCAAGGGCTGGGAAGGTGGCTCAGTGGTAGAGCACTTGCCTTGCATGCATGAGGCTCTAGGTTCGATTCCTCAGCACCACATAAGCAAAAAGTAAATGCCAGAAGTGGTGCTGTGGCTCAAGTGGTAGAGCGCTAGCCTTGAGCTGAAGGGCTAAGGGACAGCACCCAGGCCCAGAGTTCAGGCCCCACAACCGGACCACCCCCCCCCAAAAAAAAAGAAAATGATTCAATTAAAGCTGGCTAAATTTAAGCATTTACAAAAACAAGATAAAATAAAATGCTTAAATTCATACAAATGCAACAAAACATAAAAGCAAATATATAAACATTAGTAAAGTTAGAGGCTTAGTCAACCTGTGATCTCAACTAGGAGTATATTTCAATAAATGTTATTTTTTTTTACTTTTTTCTCTCATTAAGAGCACAGAAATTCTTCTATAAGTATACAAATTAAGAAAACATAAGTGTTCACTATTCCACAGGAATTCATGGACTAACATCTTGAAGCATCGCTCTTCATTGCAGCTGCATCCACACATGAGGGGATGAAAGGAAAATGTTTCCAAGATCTCAATTCCTGGGAGAGGAGATACAGAGCAGAGGGCCACCGGCCACCCATCAATACCAGGTCCTTTTCTCTCGCACCTCAAAAAGCAGATTGTGAAGTCAGGAGAGCAGAGACTTCTATGGAGGCTTTTTCAACTTGCTCTCATTCTCCCTCGTCACATTGCCAGTGGAGCTACTGTTGCTAACATGACAGTTTTTTTTCCTTTTTAATTAGGGCAATTTGTTTCATAGGATGAGCGATACCTTTCTTGAGATCCCATTCCTGCTGTTTCTGAGCCTCTTTGCTTTGAGGACCCTTGTGCACCAGTGAGCCTCCAGTAAGTCTTGCTTCCAAGAGAAGCAGAGTGCTGCATTTCAATACGACAGACTACTTCAAAATCATGTTTTCATTTGCAGAGTTTTTTTAAATGCACTA